TTATTATAAATATACATGTCATGTGCGTATGTGCATATATACATGTAGCAGATGCCACTTTCTCAACTTATTGACTCACCGTTGCCATACTGGTTTTGATGCTACAACGAAGAATTCGACAAAGGGTGGCCTAAAGCTATCACCCGAACAGAGCAACGCTTACTAGGAAGATGAAGGGTGGTGAATCTCGTACTTACGTCCGCCCTGATTTCTCTGACTAACGTGTAAAAGGCATCGTCGACTCCCATCCTCGTCTTCGCCGAGGTTTCTACGAACGGAATTCCGTAGCTCTTCGCGACCTCGCGCGCCTGGTTCATGTCTATTGCTCGAGTCGGCAAATCACACTTGTTGCCTACCACTGAAATTAAAGTCCATCGTCAGTGACCTTCACGTGACCTTCATAGCGACACTGCAATGACCTTCATAGCGGCACTGCAATGACCTTCATAGCGGCACTGCAATGACCTTCATAGCGACACTGCAATGACCTTGACAGCGCCACTGCAATGGCCTTCATAGCGACACTGTACTGACGTTCATAGCAACACTGCAATGACCTTCATAGCAACACTGCAATGACCTTCATAGCAACACTGCAATCACCTTCATACCGACACTGAATGACCTTTATAGCGACACTGCAATGACCTTCACAGCAACACTGTAATGACCTTCATACCGACACTGCAATCACCTTCATAGCGACACTGCAATCACTTTCGTAGTCAAAAGAAAATGACACCGCGACGACCTTCAAAGTTGCGTTCCACATTCGGAGTCCACATAAGCCCAAATTAGATTTTAACAATTAAAAACGGCAGTAATTACCAATTAGTCCAACAGTCACCGGATCCCCACGTTGATTCGCGGCGCATCGAAACGCGAGGGCAAGAATTCGCAGGAGACTTTCCTCGGGGGAAAAACACGGCGGTTTCCTGCGCACGCCGTCGCAGCCAGGTATGGCAGCTGCTCAGCAGGAGGCAGGAAGAGGCAGGAGGAGGAGGCAGGAGGAGGAGGCACGAGGCAGCAGGAGGAGGAGGAGGAGGAGGAGGCAACAGGAGGAGGCGGCAGGAGGAGGCAGCAGGAGGAGGAGGAGGAGGCAGCAGGAGGAGGAGGTAGCAGCAGGAGGAGGCAGCAGGAGGAAGAGACAGCAGGAGGAGGCAGCAGCAGGAGGAGGCAGCAGGAGGAGGAGGAGGAGGAGGAGGCAACAGGAGGAGGCGGTAGGAGGAGGTAGCAGCAGGAGGAGGAAGCAGTAGCAGGAGGCAGGAGGAGGAGGCAACAGGAGGAGGCGGCAGGAGGAGTCAGGAGAAGGAGGAGGGAGCAGG